GGTGCATTCATACAATGGGATATTACAAAGCCATGAAAATGAAGAAAATGGAAGGATCTCATGAACATAATTGTAGGTGAAAGATTCAAACTATAGTATAATTCCATTTCTGTTCATTTTAAAAACAGGCTGTATTAGTCTGTTCTCATGCTGCTAATAAAGGCATACCTGAGACTGGGTCACTTATAAAGAAAAAGAGGTTTAATGGACTCACAGTTCCACATGGCTAGGGAGGCCTCACAATTATGGCAAAAGGTGAGGAAGAAGCAAAGGCACATCTTACATGGCAGCAGGCAAGCGAGTGTGTGCAGGAGAACTGCCCTTTATAAAACCATCAGATTTCGTGAGATTTACTATCATGAGAACAGCATGGGAAAGACCCGCTGCCCCATGATTCAATGACCTCCCACCAGGTCTTTCCCACAACACGTGGGGATTGTGGGAGCTACAATTTAAGATGAGATTTGGGAGGGGACACAGTCAAACCATATCACAGGCCAAACTAAGCTAGGTTTTTTCTGAATATGTCTATGCGCTGAAGAAATTATTACAAAAACCATGTGTGGTTACAACTAGAGAGAGGGAAGGCACTGTCATCAATAGAGACACATGGAGGACTCTCAAGCGTGCTGGCTGCACTCTCTTTCTTGACATTAGTGGTGGTGATATAAGTGTTCACTTTATAATCAATCATTATAAATAGAGTAATATTAAAGTAGACACTTAACTGTGCATGTCTGTTTTATGTACTTTTGTACATTTATGTCTTATGTAGTTTTCTGTAATTGAATCTGGAAACTGCAAAGGTATAATATGTTGATTGTTACGTCTGCTAATAATGTGAACACTATCCATGGCGAACTAGCTTTGTCAGTATGTGTGCACATGTGTGCTGGGTACTGATTTCAATGTAAGTATGTTGTAAATCTCATGTAGTGGGGGCACTTTGGCTGACCCATTGCTATAAAACTTTAAGATTTGGACTTGCAATGATGACCTGAAATTTTTAATATTTTGGAAATTTTCTAATATTGTCATTATTTGGCCAAACTTGGAATTTTAGAGCATAAACAGACATGGAGTCCCAGAAGACATTCTAGGATACATAATAGTTTAAAAGATTTTCTTTGACCAGGCACAAATAGAATTTCCATTTTACACAAACAAAATTCACGTTATGATAACTTTTTACTTTTTATGAAGAAATCACCACATCTTTTAAAATTATTTATTTATGGCTATAGAAGTAATGTGCACACTTTACTGAAAATCAAGATCTTTTTTCTTTTGGCTTTGGAATAAATATTTGGTATCTCTGTTATATAGCAACATTATTTCATCTCCTTTGAGACACACTGCATGAAAAAATGCAAAGAACATTGTGCACGTGATAGATAGTGACCATATTATGTGTCTGTCTTCCTTTTAGAAAAGAGCCATATAATATCTTTCACATATTTCTACATTTCACTTTATTTTTTAAAATTTAAATTATATATTCTTTACAAATGGGAATAATAGTGGTTAAGATTATGGACTTGGGAGTTAGATGGTTCCAGATGCAGCACTGGCCTTCAGCAGGCGACTGACCTCTCTCTGCGTGTCAGTTTCACCTTGGGACAGGGAGATGGGTTTGCTAATGTGCTCCGAGCATTTGCAGAACTGGAGGAATAGCGTAATAAAGCACAGTGCCTGGCGCATAGTGAGGACTCCAGGATTGTTAGCTACTTTGGTGATCTCTCTCCCTCCTCCTCCTCCTCTTCTCTTTTCTCCCTCCATTCCTTTTGATGAAACGAGGGCTGCCCATTCATTTATTCAGTGTTTTAAAATTAAAAATGAACTGTCAGTTAAAATGGACAGAATTAACCTCTTTGTCAGATAAAGTGAGATGGTTTTGTATTCATAGGGCTTGTCTCAAAACACCTAAGATAAAGGCTAGGTGCACCAGAAAGGGTCACCTGGGTAATAAGTGCCATCTATCACTGTGAGGGATACAGACTCATCCACCTGCAGGGAGGGCTTCAGGGCACTATGGCATGTTTTTTCACAGATCCCGTTTTCCAGCAGAAGGCAGGAGGCCACCCTGAAGCAGCACGTGGGTGAGCTCTCCCACCAATGCCAGCATCCCTGGGGTCTTCTTGTGCCACTGCAGCCCACAGGTGGCCTTTGGTGCAGCAGACGATAAGGCAGGATTCATTTTCTCTCAGTGGCAATCTATAGAAGAGAAGAATGTGGAGATTATGCTAGTGGAAGTCACTCTATTTTCAGCCAACATGGATAGTCCTGTTAATGAGATTGCTCCCGCGAAGCTCCCTAAGATAGAGATAGTGATTTCAGACCCTGAGGAGTCGGTTCTGACTTATCCTGATGTTCACTATCAGCTGGTAACTCCTGGGACCTCGTAAAGTGATCACCTAGCAACAACTCACAGCATGAACTTCCCTTTAAAGTTCTCATGTTTAGACACATTTCTCATGTCTCCAGTCAGGATGGATAAAACAGGGCTGGTACCCAAAGATGAGCTGAGGCTTAGGAGGCCATCCAAGCAGAGAAGTCATCATCTTATGCTTCCCTATAGATGAAGCATTTCTGTTTTCCTCTGGCTCTGCCAAGAGGGAGAGAAACCTCAGAGCAGTCTCGGGGTTGTTTGTCCCTTTAAAAATCTTCTTTGGAGAAGGTGGATGGAGAAATCTCAGGCAGTTGGTAGATGCCAGGAGGTCAGTCCTCATCAAGAATGCTCCAAAGCTCAGTCCTCATTAATCAGTTTATAAAGTACCATGGAAGAATTTTAAGCACAAGATGTTGTTTCTGAGCTGGCAATTCTCTTTCCACTCACCACTGAAAGCCCATAGCTTGCTTTCCTGGTACATAAAGACAGCCAAATAGTGTCAATAATTTTTCCTCTTAGTTTTTCAAAAGCATGGTGGACTTTGCAACACTTGCTGTATCTGTGTGAAAGGGAGCTCTGGATCATTGGTTGATGGTTATGCTTACTCAGGGTTCCAGAGAATTCTGTAGCTCCTGGGAGTCCAATCTCTCCACGTATCACTGGTCCCCGGCGTGACTTGTCAAGATACCTATGTGGTTACACGCCCAACCCACCCACAAGCTTCATGACACCCCAGGCCCCTTGTCAGACCTTGTCCTGCCTCTTCCCAGTCCTCACAACTTTCCAAATTTGTCCTTATTTCTGGGCCCCGGGCTGGGGTGCCCCCTCCCCAGCAGGTACCCCACATCCAGAAGCACTTTGTTCCATTGTCCTCAATTATTTTGCTGTAACATCTCAGGCATTCATTTTGGAAGGAGAACGGGCTTTTGGTGCTGGGGAGATCAAGGTTTCAATTACAGGACAGCCATTTACCTGTATGTGACCTCAGGTGGGTCACTTAATGTCTCTGATCCACAATTTCCTTTTTGTCAAAGAGGGTTAAGAATATCTTCTCCACAGGGCTCATGTGAGGATGAAACAAGAAGTGATGGCAGAGACCTCACATGGTGAAGTGCAGTGTCAGGCTCGTGACTACTCTTCCCCCTCCCTCCCTCCGTCCCTTGTCCTGGTTATTCCTTGAGACCAGGGATTATGACCTAATTCTTCTGTAGCCTCCAGAGTGTGGAGCAGTAGGCACACAAGAATTCTTTCTGCTGGAGAGAGCATATTTGCAGAGAAAGCAAAGACATATAGGGGTTATTCTATCATTCCATAACTTTTTTCTGTCCTATCTCAAAACATCATTTTGGTTAATTTTTCCCTCTGGAGAAAAGCATGATAAAGCCTGTTTAGATTGATTTATGACAGTCAAATATTTGATTTGTTTTGTGATTCAATGGGTAGACAATGAGGGCCACTTGTATTCCTAGCCGCTCCTTGATGTTGGTTCTTTCTTCTGGGTTTTCAGTCTGCTGAGCTTCCAACCATCTTTCCCGGTGAAACATCTTTCTTATGTGGGCATCAGGCTTGAGGGTAACATGCTCATCCTCTTGAGAAGCTGGCATCAGGGCTTTGACACAGATGCTGCCTGGCTTGCAGCTGCTTTCGCAAGCAGTACCAGTTCCTTCCAAGTCCCTGGAGGCACCGCACTGCTCCGCAATCCTTACCTCTGTCCTACCTTCACCCTGGGTGCCCACCTGCTGCCCTCTCCAGACAAGAGTTGCTTCCTCGATGCAGCCTTTGAGTTATAGGTCCCTTCCCCACTGATCGCATGAACTTACCCAATCCCTTTGCTGAACCTCTGTATGTTTTTTAACCTGCACAGATTTTCCCGTAACACCTCTAATGCTTACGCCTGCTGGTCTCTTTCCCTGACTGTATTAAAAACGTGACTAGCTGGAACATGCTACTGAGTCTGATTCCTAAATCTCAGTGCCTGGTTCGTTTTCACGACAACATATTGGGGATCTATGGCAACCCTGTGGCTGTCACACTCAGAAACTGACCATCAGCCACCCTTCAGCTGCCGAGACAGGTGGAAATGGTCTTTGCTGACTTTAAGTTGCAGGCTTTCCTTTCGTTGGATGGATGACTTAAGTTGTAGGTATAGAATTCCTGCCTCATGCCAAGCACTGTGCCAGAAACTTGCAGAGAACTCTTGTCTCATTTTCTCATCTGCCAAGGGAGGGATCATGAGACCCTCCATATGGTGTCTCCTTAGGACCCAAGGAAATAATGTGTATCGCAGTGCATTACATGTGACAATTGGAAATCATTATTTAAACATTTCATATAAAAGTATGTATTTATAGAACATGTAGACTGATCTAAGACCTGTGATAAATTTACCTGAGTTCAAAGACATTTGTTATAATTAAAACAGGCAAATCAAAACAGGTGCATTTCATGCTTGTTTAAAGAAAATGCTGCAAAGAGAAAATTAAGCACTTAGCAACACATCAGGCACAGAGACCATATGGAAAGTGTCAAAGTGTCTCAGCATTGTGGCCAGTTGGATGCTGGCACTTTTACCTGGTGACCAGGTAACCCTCTCTGTTTTCTACTTTCCCAGGTATGCGCCAGGGCAACGACCATGGCACTCAGTACCGCTCGGCCATCTACCCAACCTCCGCCAAGCAGATGGAGGCAGCCTTGAGCTCCAAAGAGGACTACCAGAAGGTAGGGGCTCCTGGGCACCTGGCCGCTAGCTTGGGCCACCGTGACTAGGGCCAGGTTCTGATTTTAGAGGGGAGTCTGCTGCTTTGCACATGGAATTGTGTTTCATTTGCGCGTCTCTTAGAAATTTCTATCAGCCTCTAGGAGTGGAGCCACTGTGTCCAATACATGTGCTAAATGAGGTTTTAAGAGTAGACCTGGGACAGGGCCAGTGGCTCATGCCTGTAATCCCAGCAGTTTGGGAAGACAAGGCAGAAGGATGCTTGAGCCCAGGAGTTCGAAACCGTTCTGGGCCACATGAGGAAACCCCATCTCTACAAAAAAATACAAAAATTAGCCAGGCATGGTGGCCTGCACCTGTAGTCCCAGCTACTTGAGACGCTGAGGTGGGAGGATCGTTTGAGTGTAAGAGGTCGAGGCTGCAGTGACCTGTACTGCACCACTGTACTCCAGCCTGGGTGACAGAGCAAGACCCTGTCTCAATGTAAAACAATAAAGAGTAGGCCCTAATGTGTTTGTCTTTAGAATCATTCATCTTGATGAAGATGCAGCCTGTTAAAATAAAATAAGTTCTTTTTCCTTCTCTCTTTGTGTCTGTCTCTGTCTCAATCTCCCTCTTTTCTTCTTCCCTCTGTATTAGTTTTCCAGGGCTGTTGTAACAAAGGATCACAGCTTGGTTGGTTTAAACAGCAGATATTTATTTTCTCACAGTTCTGGAGGCTGGAAGTCCAAGATGAAGGTGTCAGCAGGGCTAGTGCCTTCTGAGTGCTGGGAGGGAAGGATCTGTCCCAGTCCTCTCTCCTTGGCTTCTAGATGGTGGTCTTCTCCCTCTTTATATTCATATCACCCTAGTTTTATGTGTGTGTGCTTCTGTGTCCAAACTTCTCGTCTTCACACTGCCTCTGGTCATATTGACTTAGGGCTAACACTAATGACCTCATTTAACTGAGTTTCTTCTGTAAAGATGCAGTCTTCAAGGAAGGTCACATTCCGAGGTTTTAGGACTCTACCATACCTTTTGGAGGGAGACACAATTCAACCTGTAATGCTTTCTCTCTATCATAACAGTAAATTGAATGATAATAAAAGTAGTTCTCAGAAATACATACATGATATCACAAGATAATTATTTTCACTATTGTATACTATTTTTTAAAATCCTCCAATAGAGATTTAGTTGTTTTAAAAACAACTTGAGTTGCTTTCGTTTTTAGAACTTTGTGATAATGCTTAGATTTTATGTATCATATTTTCTGATGTGGATTTGCATTTGACAGTAGAGCTAGACACTACTACAAAGCTAATTCTATTTCAGAATTGTGTAAAAAGTCAGGTGTGCAACAGCCCCCAGGAATGAGTGGGTTATCCCCTTATCCTGCATGGTGACGGAGATTGCAGAGAGGAGGTTAGAATACGAGTGTCCATTGATGAGCAAGTAGCAGGACATGTGACTCAGTCAGTTCAACTGCGATGAGTGGAGAGGCCTGAGGGAGGCGCTGACAGAGCCCATTCCTTCCTTGGCCCCTCCCACTTCACTCTCAGACTGTGATGTCTGCTTTGCTGGTCATGCTAGGCAACCTGTGGGATGGGACCCAGTGCTCTTGAATATGTGCTGGGTTTAGCAACTCACTTCTAATGAATGACAGCAGTGATGGAATAGCACTCTGAGACTAGGTCATTAAAAGATTGTGGTTCCTATTGTGAGAGCTCTCTGTCAACTCTCTGAGAGATGGTAGGGGAAGCCAGCTGCCATGTCCTGAAGCAGCCCTGTGCAAAGGCTTACATGACAAGGACAGAAACCTGCCAAGAACCACATGAGTGAGCTTCTAAGCCCCTCAACCCCAGTCAAGCCTTCAGATGAGATTGCAGCCCTGCCTGACAGTTTGATTACAGGCTTATGAAGCACGCAGCCAAGCTGTGCCCCGGAAGCTGTGATGTAATTAATGAATATTCTTTTAAGCTGCTAAGTTTTACAATAATTTGAATATATTTATATTTCCATTCTAAAAAGCTTTTATCTGCATCTTATTCTTTCTCTTATCCCTTTTTTATGATGGCATTTCTAACAGTGGTAGGCTAAACCTGGGCATTTATACTGGTGGTTTCACATGTAGGCTCTAGCATCAAATTTTCTCAATTCACATGTTGTCTGTGCAGTTTATTGTCAAGCGCCTGCCACTTAGAAAGCCGTATGTCCTATTTGACTCAAGCAGACCTATGAGGATGAGGGGGACCCCCCATTATCCCCATTTTCCAGATCCTCAAAGACACAGAGGAATTACCTTAAAATAACTGAAATTAAAGAGAAGTAAGACTGGATGTAGGGAGATGAGTTGGGCAGCTGTTATAGGACCCTAGGCCAGAAATGATGGAAGCTTTGTCTAGGATGGTGGAAGTATGGATGGGTTGGAGAGATATTTAGGAAGTAGGAAGACTAGAACTTGGAACTTCACTGGAAGTGGAGAATCATAAGAGGGACTGGTCCAGGTCATGGCTGGTGATTCTAACCAGATTTCTGGCTGGTGATTTTCTGTACAAAGGTATAGAGAAGCAGAGGCAGATTTGTGGGGAAGGTAAGTTGAGTTTTAAAAGTGCAGACAAGATACCCATGACATGGGCATCTGAGGGGCTATTGGGTGGAGCTGTGGGCTATTTCTGCCTTGCAGGGAGGATTGCTAGGACTGCTAAGTGGGCTAATGCTTGTGAAACACAGGGCCCACACAATAAATTTCCCATAAACAGAAACCCTTATTATTATTGGGAGTTATCAACTTATATTTGGAAATGAAACCCCAGTTGCTGATAAGATCACTTGGAAAAAGTGATGAGATAAAAGCAGAAGAGGCCAGGCACAATGGCTCATGCCTGTAATCCCAGAACTTTGAGTGGCCAAGGCGGGCGGACCATGAGGTCAGGAGTTCAGGACCAGCCTGAGCAACATGGTGAAATCCCGTCTCTACTAAAAATACCAAAATTAGCCGGGCATGGTGGTGCATGCCTATAATCCCAGCTACTCAGGAGGCTGAGGCAGGAGAATTGCTTCAACCTGGGAAGCAGAGGTTGCAGTGAGCCAAGATCGCGCCACTGCACTCCAGCTTGGGTGATAGAGTGAGACTCTGTCTCAAAAAGCAGAAGAGGGCTTAGTACCTGAGGAACTAATTCCTCCGCTTGCGCAGTGGAAGGGGGAATGTCCAACCAGGCAGGACACTGCACTGGGCACTATAGAGAACCATCCCCAACCAAGAATTTTTAAAAAGTGGTTCAGTTGTGTTGCATCCCACTGTATTTAATTACAAAGGCAGTGTTTACAATTAGTACTGAAAGTCACGTATGATCAACGCCATCTATAAATTGCCTAATGTAATGATTCATAGGCCTCTAGGGCACCAACAGGAATACCAAGAGATTCTGGAAGCATATTAACTGCCCTCTAGAATGCTGGAAATCTGATGATACCCTGGTGTTCACAATAAAGATGTTCAGTTCAAAGGCCAGTGCCTTCCATGTGATGGTGAAGAGGCTTACTTACCACCAGATTTTCTGGTTTCTATCCCAATATAGTTTCTACCCTCTGTTTTTAAGGAAACTCAGATCGATTTTAGATAAGTGTATCCACAGGAAGTAAAATTTAGGTATTACGTAACTAATGAGTTGCTATAATTATTCTTTTATTATTTTTGTAGTTTTTGGAAAGGTTAATCTTGTAGGCAGTTGTGCTGACCAGAAGCTTTCTGGGTGTTCTATACCTAAGCATAGGGGAATTAAGAGAGAGAGAGAGAGAGAGAGAGAGAGAGAGAGAGAGAGAGAGAGAGAGAGAGAGTGTGTGTGTGTGTGTGTGTGTGTGTGTCTGCTTGGCTTTTACAAGTAGGGTCTTTTTTTAAAAAATAAAGATTGGGGATTCCTGTGCCTTTAGCATCCGGACAGCCATTGCTGCTCATATGACCACATATAAACTGCTTAATCACCAACTCGGGGGACAAATGTTGTCACATCTCTTATGGTTTTGCATAAATAAACCTAACCCTAGATTCCACCGGGAGATGAGTTGAAAGTTCAGCATTTTTCATCCTGGCTAATTGACGAAAACCCAGAGTGGCAACTCTAGACCAGTGCTTCCAACACCACTCTCCTTTCCACCATGACGCAGGGGTCTCCCCTGCACTGTCCAGTGGAGGGCCTCTGGCCACATGTGGCTGTTGAGCACTCGAAATAGTGGCTCACTGGCTCAGTTCCTCAATGGCTAGTGTGACTGAGGAACTGAATCTTTAATTTAAATTTATATTTAAATGGCCACATGTGGCTGTTGTCTACCATATTAGAGAGCTTTAAGGGGTAAGCCTGTGTGTGTGTGCTCATGCCCATGTGCATGAGCATTGTAGAGGAGTGGGGACACGACAGCCTGGATCCCTGGCCCTCTACTCTCACTATGGCTTACCCCAAGGGCACAGGACCACCATGGAACGTGAGACAGCCATGGAACATGGGCCCTCCTGCCCATCAGAAATGCTGCACCGGCAACTGCTCTCAGCTCTTCCTTCCTGGAGACCATAGTATGAGGGTCAGGTTGTTTTCCTTTTCAGGAACCAAAGCGTCTCTTTGTGTATCCATCTGGGTGAGCACCAGGGCTAACTGGACACCCATGCCCAGGTGACCACTGTGACTTTTATCTTAGCTTAGCCTGAGTCCCACAGAAAGCAGAGCCCAAGCCAGAGGCTTGTGTGAGGACACACTGGGGTGTGTGGTTTGAGGGAGCAGAAGTAAGGAGCAGGGGACTGCAGAGGAAAAAGAGGTAGAACACATACAAGTTAGCCCCTGCCACTGGTAACCAGTTGTTTGAACCTTATGAAATGACCAGGCCTTCAGTGGAAGATAAGAAAGCATGTTTCCATTGAATGCCATCACCCATAGGTTCATTCTGCACTTCTGGGGTGCACATGTGTGAGCTCAGGGTACTGTGTGCCAGAACAGGAGGCAAGAGACAAGAGGCACATAGTGTTGAGTGT